AAAAAAAAAATGTCCCAAAAAAAAAAAAAAAAAAAAAAAAAGAAATGAATGAGAAACAAAAATTAATACAACAGATGACGAGTGAAAACGATAAAAAGTAGTAAAAATCAAATATGTTTAAATAAATATCGTTTAATAAATCGAAATTACAGTTTAAATACAGTTCAGTTGAACAGTAATTGCTTACTTGCTTATGCTATTTTTATCATAGTGCAGATGTATTCTTAGTGGCCGATAAATGTCTTTAGTTTCACGTGTTTTTCGTAGACGACCACCAGCAGCAGTATCGGAACCATCCAGCAGTGATTCACCTTCAATATCTATCGGTACATTGAACACAATATCATCCACATGGGGCACCTATAATCGTTGTTCAAAGTACACTACATTCAAAATTTTACTGCAACTTCATTAAATGTTTTATTGATATCAATAGGTTTTTTTTTTATTTGGCTTTATCATTTTTATCTATAATAAAAATATTTTCTTTATTTTTTTTGCACTTAGGCAATAAACTGATATTTGAGCAAAAAATGTATGAATCAGTTGTACACTTGTAAAAAACTATTCTTTACTCCCTCGATTACTGACAATATTTTACACTGAGAAACAGAAAAAAAAAAAAGCGTATTGTACAAAATTAATAAGTTGTTTCATTCGTTCTCCACGCTAAAATTCCATTTAAAATGAGAAGAAAAAAGCATGAAAAAAAACTTTAGTTTTTCTACTGCTGTCTGTATAAATCATCCATAAAAGTCCAACTGGTTCAGGTCAATTCCATCCAAAATTTCTTTTTCCTTTCTTCCTTTTCTTTTTTGTTTTTTTTTTTTTCCAGTCCATGATAATAATCATGACGATAGCGAAGAAAAAACAACAACGATGATAGGATCTTTTATTTGTCTTAAGCTGCTTTTTAAAATTATCATTTCCAATTTCTTTCAAAACACTTTAATCTATCAATTTATAAGACAAATTTTTTCCTTTGTAACCGTTGTTTTTTTCACCATTATATACTGTTGAAGAGTAAAAGTAAAAAAGTCAGCTATAAGAAGCACAGAAAGAAAAATTTTTTTTTTATTCTTCTTTTGATACCTTTGTTTTTTTTTTATCTATAATCCTCCCTTTCCCCTAAAAGAAAAAATATCATTAAAAATAATACAGAATAAAAAACAGTAATGGTTGAAAGATTAGATCAAGACAAAAAGCTTTGCTTTTTATTTCCCGATTATTCTTATAAAAGTGTTGTTGCCGTAGAAAGAGCAAAACAAGAAAAAAAAAATAGATGTATCTGAATGATATAGCAAAATATAATATTTATCCAGTCAAAAGTATGCACAAACCTATAGTAATAATTTGCTGACAAGAAAAAGCTTAAATTAATATTTACAACTAGTTTTTCACTTTTTTTTTTTTAGAAGGGAAGAAGGGAAGAGAGTGGAAAATGTAAAAAAATTACTTACAGATTTAATTTATAATAAAATACCAATTTTTTTTTTGCATGTTTGCTGTTGCATTAACATCGTACACTTGTATCAGAACCATTGTTTTGTTTCTTTCTGATACTTTTTTCCCCCATCTTTTTCATATATATTCTTTGCAAATAATATCCCGTTTAAAAAAAAAAAAGTGGTTATCAACAACTAGTGCTGAATTGATAAAAAAAAAAATAAATAAATAAAAAAGAAAACAGGAAAAAACAAAGTTAACATAGAAAGTTGACAAAAACTAATAGAGTAATACTGGAGTAAATTCCTATCATTTCTGCTAATTTATATTATTATTTTTTTGATTTTACTATCAACAAAAAGCCGGTGAAACAATTAGGTCAATAACAGCAGTAAAAAAAAGAGACAAGAAAGAAAAGATGAAAATGAATGAGTAAACGATTGCTCGGAATGAACAATGATAATGGAAACTGTTTTTGGGATAACTCATTCCGTTTTCATTGCTAACAATTTTCCATCAGCTTATATCTTCCGCC